TATCATTAGTCCAGGACTGTCCAGTACAGAGACTTCATGTACGGCGACCTCTGATACATGCCGGGATCTCATGGTCCAGTGATTGTAGCCATATCAGTAAACCTGCGCCGACAGATTGTGTGCGGTCCGACATACTCCATGTATTTGTGCCGAGCCCCCCATTCTCATCACGTTGTGTGTCGTATTTGTTTCATCAGGCTGCTCTGCACTCAACACATGTGGCAAAGGAAGTGTCTTTGATCTTTGTCATTTTATAGCATTGTAGTTGCTGCGTGTTTTTAGACTGCGCTTGATTTTGGTGCCGCTAACCTGTATTAGGACCAGCTTTCTTCCAAGGTCATAGCAGTCCTGGGCTGCGTTACAGTCCTGGAATTTCACACCCAAAAAACTGCTCCTCAGCCACCCGCTATGCTGGTCTGCCATTCCCTGACCTTGTTACAGCCTATGAGGCCATATATTGTGCCGGCTGTCTGTTCATATACGCCGTATTGTGGAGACATGAATAGGAAGAAAAGTAACTAAAGAAGAAGTGCTAACAATTGTCAGGTAAATGAACTTTTCACGAGACGACTTTTCACGAGACGACTTTTCAGGAGAGACGTACTTCTATCCCGCATGGCCGCCTTCAGCGACGGCATATGCTTTTAGTTGAATGTATTTTACCTCCTGAAGGTTTAAAATCTTAGAATGAGCCTAATTTAACAAGAAAAAAAAATCCACCCAAAAGAAGGAAAAAGTCCAGCTAAAAAAAAAAGAGAGGAAAAAGTCCAGCTAAAAAAAAAAGAGAGGAAAAAGTCCAGCTAAAAAAAAAAAGAGAGGAAAAAGTCCAGCTAAAAAAAAAATAAAAGAGAAGGGGAAAAAGTCCACCTAAAAAAAAGAGGGAAAAGTCCACCTAAAAAAAAGAGAGGGAAAAGTCCACCTAAAAAAAGAGAGGAAAAAGTCCACCTAAAAAAAGAGAGGAAAAAGTCCACCTAAAAAAAGAGAGGAAAAAGTCCACCTAAAAAAAGAGAGGAAAAAGTCCACCTAAAAAAAGAGAGGAAAAAGTCCACCTAAAAAAAAGAGAGGAAAAAGTCCACCTAAAAAAAAGAGAGGAAAAAGTCCACCTAAAAAAAGGAAAAAGTCCACCTAAAAAAAAAGAATGAGAAGGGGGGAAAAGTCCAGCTAAAAAAGAGGAAAAAGTCCACCTAAAAAAAGGGGAAAAAGTCCACCTAAAAAAATAAAAGAGAAGGGGGAAAAGTCCAGCTAAAAAAAGAGGAAAAAGTCCACCTAAAAAAGAGGAAAAAGTCCACCTAAAAAAGAGGAAAAAGTCCACCTAAAAAAGAGGAAAAAGTCCACCTAAAAAAAAAGAGGAAAAAGTCCACCTAAAAAAAAAGAGGAAAAAGTCCACTAAAAAAAAAAAAGAGGAAAAAGTCCACCTAAAAAAAAAAAAAAAAAGAGGAAAAAGTCCACCTAAAAAAAAAAAAGAGGAAAAAGTCCACCTAAAAAAAAAAAAGAGGAAAAAGTCCACCTAAAAAAAAAAAAGAGGAAAAAGTCCACCTAAAAAAAAAAAAAGAGGAAAAAGTCCACCTAAAAAAAAAAAAAAAGAGGAAAAAGTCCACCTAAAAAAAAAAAAAGAGGAAAAAGTCCACCTAAAAAAAAAAAAAAAGAGGAAAAAGTCCACCTAAAAAAAAAAAAGAGAGGAAAAAGTCCACCTAAAAAAAAAAAAAAGAGGAAAAAGTCCACCTAAAAAAAAAAAAGAGGAAAAAGTCCACCTAAAAAAAAAAAAAGAGGAAAAAGTCCACCTAAAAAAATAAAAGAGAGGAAAAAGTACACCTAAAAATTAACGAAAAAGAGGGGAAAAGTATACCTACAAAAAAAAAAAGTCCGTCATGGACCTGCAGAAGCCCCCCCGCCCCCCTCGGCCACATGCAGAGAAGTTTGTACAGTAAGCATGTATTCTGCCTCTTGGTTTCCTTATGACTTCTTCCGCCATTTTACATCGAACATTTCCTGCCAGACATCTGAGCTCACTGAGCCGAACACTTCTGTTAAATGATAACCAAATACTGTTTTGTTTTTTTTTTACCATTTGCATACAAATTCCGGCATGCTGATCGTATCACAGAACCAACACTGCAGGTTTGTGTTCCAGCATTTCTTCTCACTGTTAACCCTCACAGTACCCAGTTATATCTAATGGCTGTAAAATCTGATCATTCGCCATTACGAAAAAACCGAATCGCATTCCTCATTCCATTGGCTGAATCTACAAGGGCGATTTTTAGCTCTTTAGCAGGAGCAGAAATTCCCTGGCAGGAATTAGGGAATTTCCACAACTGGCAGAGTAAGAAGTAAGTTGTAGCGTGTAAGAGTTCGCTGAGCGCAATCGCAGTATCCATTCCCAGCACACAGTTGTGCAATTATTATTTTTTTTAATACACCTTTTAGGACTGAAGATTACAAAGTGGTTCAAAGGGCAAGCTTTTTTTTTTCTTTTTTTTTACTTATCTTAAAGTGGTCCTAAACCTCAGACATCAACATATGAACAAAGCACATCCCTCTATAGTGTGTACTTGTCTTAGGTAAGAGCACTGAGTGTCATTTCTGTCTGCTGCCTCCTTTCTCTGCCATCAGCAGGAGTCACTTCTGCAGGGTCATCTTAATGCGTGGGCACCCCTGGGCAATGCCCACACACCCCAGGTGCATGGGGACCCCATGATAATCTTACATTACAGCACGCTTGCCAACTGTCCCGGTTTTGCTGGAATAGTCATGCTTTTTACCAAGCTGTCCTGATGGTTGGTGCCGAGAGCAGAGTGCCAGATTATGGGCTATGGGGACAGAAGTAGCAGTCTAAATCTACAATTGGAATTACATCTCCCTGCTGTGCTGTGCCCGCCTGCCCCCCCCCGTGATGTGCCCGCCTGCCCCCCCATGATGTGCCCGCCTGCCCCTCCCCCTCTGCTGTGCCCTCCTGTCCCCCCTGCTGTGCTGTGCCCTCCTGTCCCCCCTGCTGTGCTGTGCCCTCCTGTCCCCCCCGGTGTGCTGTGCCCTCCTGTCCCCCCGGTGTGCTGTGCCCTCCTGTCCCCCCGCTGTGCTGTTCCCTCCTGTCCCCCCCCCCCCCCCCCCCCCGCTGTGCCCCCCTGCCCCCTCTATGCTGTGCACTTTGTGTTGATTAGTCATTGATTTACAGCATGTTTTTCTAATGGTTTGAAATCAATTTAATTGAAAGCACTAATATATGTTTTAATTGTAACTATTCAGGGGTGTGGATATTTTTGAAAAAACTACGTGTCCAGGGACTAAATCAGTGTCCCCATCTACTTGTCCAGGGACTAAATCAGTGTCCCCATCTACTTGTCCAGGGACTAAATCAGTGTCCCCCATCTACTTGTCCAGGGACTAAATCAGTGTCCCCATCTACGTGTCCAGGGACTAAATCGGTGTCCCCATCTACGTGTCCAGGGACTAAATCAGTGTCCCCATCTACTTGTCCAGGGACTAAATCAGTGTCCCCATCTACTTGTCCAGGGACTAAATCAGTGTCCCCATCTACTTGTCCAGGGACTAAATCAGTGTCCCCATCTACTTGTCCAGGGACTAAATCAGTGTCCCCATCTACTTGTCCAGGGACTAAATCAGTGTCCCCATCTACTTGTCCAGGGACTAAATCAGTGTCCCACCAATTCCATATTGAAATCTGGGGTGATTTTAGTTCTGTGTTAAATACAGAAGGGGCTTTATGGCGACTTTAACATGGAATAATTTTACCATTGCGCTGTTTATCTCCACCCCTCCCCCCTGCCTGTGTCTCCAGCCCCGCCCCCGGGGACTAACAGGAAATAAGACTTTGCAGTGTAATGAGCACCGATTGGCTGCTCCTCAGGAAAGGGGAGTGTCTAGGTTATCCCTTTCGCTGCCAGAGCCATTTTTGCGTTTTTTGCACAAGATTAAAAAAAATCATTTCAGGCCTGAAGATGACACAAAACCCCCAAATATGAGATTTTCTGAAAGCAGAGACCCCAGAGAATACAATAGTGGTAGTTCCAATTTTTTTTATGTCGCAAAATTTCAGTAAAAATTACAAGTAAGTTAATTTTAGGGCACAAAAAAAAACCAATGACCCTATTTTTTTGTAAAATATAAAATACGAGGTTGCAGCGAGTAAATGGATATCCAACATGTCAAACCTTAAATTTGTGCGCTCGTGAAATGGCGATGAACTTTAGTCCCCTATATTTTCTCTAGGTGACGTTTTTAAAGCCCCTTCTAGGTCATCAGTATAGCGTACGGGGGAGGTCTGGTGCTGGAATTATCGCTCTCATCCTGGCGTGCGCGGCGATATGTGACTTGTGTATCGCAGTTGACATTTTCATGTGTAGGCGCCCCAGCGTGTGCTCTAGGAGCGCTAGAGTTTTATGAGCGTTTTTACAGAACATGTAGAGGGGGGAAAAAATGGTATGTTTGTCATGTCATAGTTCACATCAGTGCTTGCAGTTCCAGTGCGTTCCGGTTGCAGAAAAAAAGTAGAACAGGAGGCATTTTTTTTCTCCGCAGAACTGTACTGGAAAGCAGTAAAACGCACTGGAATGCACATGTCCCTATTTAAATAACATCCTCAGTGATGTCACCGCTCTCTAGTGAATGGATAGGCTGCATTCTCGGTGATGTCACCGCTCTCTAGTGAATGGATAGGCTGCGATCTCGTTGAGGTCACCGCTCTCTAGTGAATGGATCGCTGCGTTCTCGGTGAGGTCACCGCTTTCTAGTGAATGGATAGGCTGCGTTCTCTGTGAGGTCACCGCTCTCTAGTGAATGGATAGGCTGCGTTCTCGGTGATGTCATCGCTCTCCAGTGAATGGATAGGCTGCGTTCTCTGTGATGTCATCGCTCTCTAGTGAATGGATAGGCTGCGTTCTCTGTGATGTCATCGCTCTCTAGTGAATGGATAGGCTGCGTTCTCTGTGATGTCATCGCTCTCCAGTGAATAAATGGTATTGTAGTCTTGACCATGATGTATAATGAGAATACTCACTCCTGTATCCATCTTCTCTCCCCCAGAGCCCCCACAAGTCTATGTGTACACCCGCAATCCAGTGGAAATTGGGAAGAAGAACCAGCTGCTGTGTCACTGCACTAACTTCCATCCTCCCCGCATTGAGCTCCAGCTGAAGGCAGCCAATAGGGAACTCCCGGACTGCCATCAGTCTGACATGACCTTCAAGGAGGATTGGGCCTATTTCCTCACCAAGTCTGTTGATTTCACACCAGAGGAGGGGGTGGAGTACAGCTGTGATGTCAGACACAACGATGGAACCCTGAAGACCTACCGCCTCGGTATGTCACATCCCGGGGGGGGGGGGGGGGGGACAACGTCAGTGGGGAACTGTGTCATTAATGGTCAAATCCAGCCAATCGTATGAAAACGGCATTTAATGTATTTACACAATCATTCAACTTAAAATTGTCCTTTTTCTGATTTGCTACACACCAGTTGTAAGGCAAAATCAGGCTTGAGGTGGGCGTGGCTAGCAGGTTAGGAGGAAAGGCACTTAAAGGGTGAGTTCTTTTTTTCATGAAAGTTGAAATGTGGTGAACTAACTCCAAATATCCTGGCTACTCATCTGGACCCCGCTGCACAAAGAGGTCGTGATGCCCCGTGCTACTCCATACACCACAATATGCAGCCCCGGAGGGCATATCCATTATAATGTTCACAATGGCAAGTGCTTGGTCTGTGAAGGACCGTACTGACCAATGAGAAGTACATCTTAGACTTCTTCTTGCTGAAAGGTCTCCTAGAAGAAAAAAGCACCTCTCATTCATGGGTCATAGTGGCCAATGAGAGAAGTACATCTTAGACTTCTTCTTCCGGAAAGGTCTCCTAGAAGAAAGAAGCACCTCTCATTCATGGGTCATAGTGGCCAATGAGAGGTACATCTTAGACTTCTTCTTCCGGAAAGGTCTCCTAGAAGAAAAAGCGCCTCTCATTCATGGGTCATAGTGGCCAATGAGAAGTACTTCTTAGACTTCTTCCGGAAAGGTCTCCTAGAAGAAAGAAGCACCTCTCATTCATGGGTCATAGTGGCCAATGAGAAGTACATCTTAGACTTCTTCTTCCGGAAAGGTCTCCTAGAAGAAAAAGCACCTCTCATTCATGGGTCATAGTGGCCAATGAGAAGTACTTCTTAGACTTCTTCCGGAAAGGTCTCCTAGAAGAAAAAGCACCTCTCATTCATGGGTCATAGTGGCCAATGAGAGTACTTCTTAGACTTCTTCTTCCGGAAAGGTCTCCTAGAAGAAAGAAGCACCTCTCATTCATGGGTCATAGTGGCCAATGAGAGTACATCTTAGACTTCTTCCGGAAAGGTCTCCTAGAAGAAAGCACCTCTCATTCATGGGTCATAGTGGCCAATGAGAAGTACTTCTTAGACTTCTTCCGGAAAGGTCTCCTAGAAGAAAGAAGCACCTCTCATTCATGGGTCATAGTGGCCAATGAGAGGTACATCTTAGACTTCTTCTTCCGGAAAGGTCTCCTAGAAGAAAAAGCACCTCTCATTCATGGGTCATAGTGGCCAATGAGAAGTACTTCTTAGACTTCTTCCGGAAGGGTCTCCTAGAAGAAAGAAGCACCTCTCATTCATGGGTCATAGTGGCCAATGAGAAGTACATCTTAGACTTCTTCTTCCGGAAAGGTCTCCTAGAAGAAAGAAGCACCTCTCATTCATGGGTCATAGTGGCCAATGAGAGCTTGCCATTGTGAGCGTTATGAAGGATACTCACTTCGGGGCTGTGTAATGTGGTTTGTGAACTGGCAGCACATGGCGCATCACAACCGCTGTCTACAGTGGGGTCTGGAGGCGTGGCCAGGATATTGGCGCTAGTTTGCCGTATTGTATCCTGAAAAAGGTGAACTTACCCTTTAAGTAGACATACAGGTGGCAGCCCATATGGTGATACTGCCCAATAATATGAAGAGCAGGGGGTTGAGCAGGGGCACCACCGGGGGCTAGGGTCCACAAGAGTATCTGCTTAACTGTGCCTATTGGACCTTTAATGGTGACCTTCCTGACCAGTAGGGAAGCCCAGCTGGTGAGAGGGGATGGGGGTCGAGCTGGTCTTTAATAGACTATGCTGAGATTGGCACGTAACTTTAGCTGCCACATCTTTTCACTGTATCTCTTGATCGGATCTTTTTTTTCATGGCTCCCTTTGAATCACCCAGATTTGTGCTTTGCTTTCAGTTCTGAGGGCACTGGCAGCTGCTGGTTCTTGAAGACACCAGTGGTGAAATTTCAGCACCGCAGCCCCTGAATTTGACCCTGGTCACCATGAATTCTCACCGCTCCAGCTGCATTTTGGATAAAGTTAACAAAGAGAGCCCAAAAAAATGGTCATGTCAGGTGGGCGGAGCTGGGATTTCAGGAGTATACACCCTGCTAATAACAATGTATGGCTGGAGACATAACCACACACAATGACCTAACTAGACTGCTTGTATAGACAAGATTGTATAGGCGGGGTGGATGACGTGTACTTACGTTCTCTCTCTGTCCTCTTTCCAGATCCTTTGATGTAATGTTGGAAAAGGTACGTATAGCTTCTGGTCTGGCCAGTGGCGTATTTAGGTTTTGTGCTGCCCTAGGCAACACTAAACACTATCCTTTTTCTCATCTTTCCTTGTTCCAATAGGAACTATGATGGTGGTCAGGGACGTGTCCACCGCGTCTTTAACAACCAGCAACTGTCATGGTGGTAAGGAGCGAGCGAGCGGCCGCTGCGTCCCTAGCAACCAGCAACTGTCACGGTTAAGGAGCAAGCGGCTGCCGTGTTCTTAACAACCAGTAACTGTCATGTTGGTTATGGAGCGAGCGGCCGCTGCGTCCCTAGCAACCAGTAACTGTCACAGTTAAGGAGCAAGCGGCTGCCGTGTTCTTAACAACCAGTAACTGTCATGTTGGTTAAGGAGCGAGCGGCCGCCGCGTCCCTAGCAACCAAATAACTCACGGTTAAGGAGCAAGTGGCTGCCGCATCCTTAACAACCAGCAACTATCATGGTGGTTAGGGACGCGGCTGCCACTCACTCCATAACTACCATGACAGTTACTGGTTGTTAAGGAGCGAGCAGGCACCACATCCTTAACAACTGTTGAGTTATGAGCTGTCAGTGGTGGACAGTTCTGCCCATCTGGAAGCTAAATCCTTTTTCTGATCTTTCCTTGTCCCAATAGGCAATTTTGTAAATCCAGATATTCCCGTGTTACCCTTTAGTAACAAGTAACCATTTGTTTAAAATGTTCTTTTGCTCATTTTATTTCATTAAAATGACCAAAGTTGTCTATTTTTCGATCCCACAGCCAATGGCACAGAACAAAGCATTCCATCAGATTGTTGGCCAGCGTTGCCACCTGCTGGCGAGAACTGGACTTGCTCCACCAGAGGATCACGTTATCAACCAGTTGATTTATTCTTAGCACTTCACTGATTTGACTTTGCTCCGCCTCTTTTAAACCTTACCTATTGGTTGGAATTATCTTGTGTGAAAATTTAATTATTTGTAAGTAATTTATAGCATCGCCAGTCACATGACCTGCTTCCCGGGTGGGGCTGTGGCCAGATTTTTGACTGATTCTCCCTCGGAATCAAGGTCCGTGTTTGGCTTCGATAACAGGGATTTAAAGCCAACATTTTTAAATGGTCATAAATGAATGTGCCAAAAACCCAAATGCTAGTTATATAGAGAAACGTGACTCTCAGCATTCACAGATATGACGGCCTTTGGTCAGGGGTACCTGGCCGGGTAACCTCTAAAGAGGGTTTTCCACCTTTGGCTTTACAGCCAATAGTAGTTTCCCCTGAGAGGGGCTTCCAGGACAGGAAGTGAGGGAAAATCCACTCCTGGGGACACACACTGCAAGTTCTAATCCTATGAAGGGTCTATAGAAAGTGACTTGTTTGCTGCTGGTTGCCCTACGAGTGGATAGACCACAGACCTCTGGGGGGGGGATCCCTTCGAGGGGATAGACCACAGACCTCTGGGGGGGAAACCTTTTGAGGGGATAGACCACAGACTTCTGGGGGGGAAACCTTTTTGAGGGGATAGACCTCTGGGGGGGAAACCCTTCGAGGGGATAGACCACAGACCTCAGGGGGAAACCCTTTAAGGGGATAGACCACAAACCTCTGGGGGAGGGAAACCCTTCGAGGGGATCATATCTGTGAATGCTAATTTTTTCATAATGGCAAATTAAAGATGAAATGACAGAAGATTGGAAGTGATTTGTGTTTAGTACATCCTGCGGAACCTGAAAGTCTCATCACCAATCATTAAAAATGTTGTACAGTTTGGATTAAAAAAAAAAAATATATATATTGTAAAGTAGCACTTCACTGAGGACAATGATGGCATCCCCGTGCCTCTAACTGCCGCAGTCGTGCGCAGCCATTTGGATTTTTCCGCTTCTCCACCTCGTAGGTTGGTGGGTCAGACAGAACACACAACCTAGCTGTGAAACAGATCAACCTAAGACTACTCCAACACTGTACATTTTATATCTACAAGGGGCACCGATTAGTAATTCTACAGCAGCGATTAGAACAACTCCAGGCTAATGTTCTTTTTTTATTTTTATATATATATGAAAAGGTTCCTAAAATGAAAAACAAAAATGAGGGCTATTGCTGAGGCACATCATCCTCTACAGCCCTGCAGTTCTTCCTTTCTGCCACAAGATGCCCTCAGTCTTCCAGGTCGAATGGCCAGTCCAACCTAAGGATGGGGGTCCTCGGGGGCGGGGCTTGGAGTTAGACTTTAGTTGCTGAGAATGGAGTTGTAACAAGCGATTCCCTATGGTGTAGACTGCACTAGTAATATGGAACGGAGTGTAGCCATTCACACGTTAGCGTTTTGCACAGTGACGAGATGCTGCGAATCAGCGATTGCGGGTTAGCGTGATTAAAGCTCCCGCGGCTGGCCCTGGCAGTTGTAGGCACGGGAATACAATGGATTCATTTTTTCCTGATACGATATCAGGTTTTGTCATGTACCCAAAGTAATTAGTGTGGCCCTTCTGTAAATGCCGTATACACCGTATCACACAGTCATTATATATTTGATTCTTTTTGGCTCTCTGCTTTTTTTCTGCTAGCACTGGATCAAGGGGCTTAGCGAAAGGGGGGGGGAGGGGGACCTTTCAATGTATTTTTTTCTTGTGTTAACTTTGGGGGGAGGGAGGGACGGGGACAAATTTGTAATGTTTCCTTATACACAGATACTAATTGTACTCTTAGGGGAGACCGTTTCCAATAAATATTTTAATAAGGAACCCTTGCGTGTGTTTTATTTACTAGCAACTGGAATAGAGAGCAGTAAAGGATATATTTGGTGTTTCATTTTTAAAAAAAGGACTTTTGGCACGCTAAA